GTGTAGATTCTGCAAATGGATTTTGAGTTTCCATTGTCATCTGGATCCTTCTGCAAACCAGGTGTTGACAATTTTAGTTCTGATACCATCCCCTCCTTTAGATTTGGATTATGTGATTTATAATCCTTGGTCTCACAGGCTGGTATGTTTCTTCCATGTGGACTTAATTGATGGCCGCATTTAGATAGATGCTTGTTTGAAGGCAGGCCTTTCTGAGAGCCAGGCACCATCTCGTTTCTTCACCATGTTGTAGCACCCATGGCTTTATTGATCTTTCCATGAGAGTGAGTATCATCCAGGGCCATGTCATAATAACTAATTGTTCTTAGACTGGGACTAGAATTAAGTGGAAGCCCCAAATGTATCCATGTATCTATGGTTTCTATATGCCTTTGCTTCACCTTGGAGACATTGTTGTCATTTTATATTAGAGAACATTATCAATCATCTCCCTGGAGTATACGGTCATTTTGTTGATAGTGTCATTAATTTATCCAATGGTAAAGAATTTCAAACATAGTTGAGAAAAAGAGATTATACAAGTTCAGGCTGGCTATAAGCTGCAATACATGAATTATTGACTTATATGGATTAAATCCTTAAGTGAATGAACACTATTTACACAAACAATAGAGGTTGGCAGTAAGACAAAACTTTTGATAAATACACTGACAGTGACAGAACCAGGCCTACCAGATCGATACACATCTTATTAAGTAATAAGGGCATTCAAGTAGCAGTAAGTATATGGAAGTTGGAAGACCACCAGCTCTATACTCTTGGTATATCTGTTTTCTGCTTCTTCTCAGACTATGTGGTTTTGGCCTGAAGTTCAGGGGCTACAGGTGAATTTGAGGTAGAGCCCCCTTCACTTAGTGGGACTTCCACATTGAATCCTTCTGCTGTGGCCTATGAAGAATGGAAAATCAGGGTGTAAAATCCCATTAGACTATAGCACATGGTCTGGGTCCCCAGGGGCTAAATGGAAACTAGACTAATATGCCCAGTTAAGAGCATGGTACCAAGCATAGTCTCCCCTTGGGTTTCATATCATTATTGCAAAGTGATTTTTCCTTTGGGGTACTTTAAAAACAGACTTTAGAGTTTTTAGGGTGCTTGGAAAGCATGACCCATAGAACCTGCATCCTTTGGAGAGTCATCCCTGCCTGTGGTCAACTGGTAAAACAGCAGCTTGAGGTCACCCCTGCCCATTATTTCACCTTCTGGACTTTGTGAACCAAGGACTATGCTGATCAGATAAACTCCCCCTGAGACTTTGGGGACACCTCCCTAATGTTCTCTCTACTCAAAGATCAAAGATTAGATTGCAGCTGCCTCTCTGGCATTCCTCATGGCTCTTGAGAATTGTTCCCAGGAACGGGGGTTTGCCCTGTGGCACCTTCTAAGTGCTTTGAGTGGGGAGGGGAGGACAGAGCTGGCATTTGTCTCTTGATTTATTTCTTATGAAGAAATATCACAGACCTCTAACTCAATTTTACATATTTATTTGTTTTCCTTCCAAGATCCCTGTGGGAGAACATTCCCAGCTGTCACGAGGGTTGGCACTGCCAGCGATTCTTCCTAGGATTAGGAGGGGCTGAGGGGTGTGTGAAGCTGTGCTCTCTAGAGAAACAAAGCCAGTGACACTCTTCTAGGTATAAGTATAACTTTATTTCAAGAAGTAAATTAATATCAGGGAAGCAGCTTAGTCCAACTTAAATCCATGGGTCTGGTGCTAGCTGGAGCATCTGCAGAGTCACATGGCTGCAGAAGGGTGAAGCAGGATGCAGAAAGACCAAGGCCGGTGAATACAGAGTTGCGTGGACCCAAGATCAGTGGAAACATGGCAAGACCCTGAGAGCTCTCATTGTTGGGCCACCCACATGGGCCTCCTCTGACAGCAGACCCCGAGTCCCAGCAAGCAGGAAGGTCAACTGGTGGTCAAGGGACAGAGGGAAAGAGAGAGGGGGGGTGTCACTTGTGTCTTTCTTATAAAGAGGTCACACCCCCAAGGAGCTGTGATCAGGCTGGCTTGACTGAGGGGTTGAAGTCCATGCCTCCACAAGTGCATGCTGACATACAATTGAACTACCACCAGGGCGGAATGCCCACTTTCCTCAATACCTTGGATAGAAATTTCTGGGAAAGAGGTGTGTTCAGTCTTCAAAAGCCCCCCCGCCCCGTGATGTTGATCAACTCCCTCTTGAATTCTTCTGTACTTTGTCATTTGGGGTCCACAGGTGGCTCCTTCCATTACTCCAGTAAGTCACGTTTGAACAGGGAATATTTTTACAGGAGTATTTGCTAACAAATAATTTACAAATTGGTGAGGGCACGATTCTTTTCTCCTCCTCCCTTTGTTAATTTTGTTTGCAGAAGGCAGGTGCACAGACAGATTTCATCGCATTTCTCTATTAAAAAAATAAAGTCTTACCTAGATTAAAAATATGGCAGCAACGTATCACGCGTGTGTCCATGCCTGTGTCCGCTGCGAACATTTCTATGTTGGTGACTGTTTGGCTTGTTGAGTCTGGAGCAACCGTTTGCAAATATGCAGGACATGGGGGTAGTGATTGTGCTCTTTGATTGTATACAAACAAGCATTTTTTTGAGAGAAAACAGCACCCCTGTGCAGAAAGATGGGCTAGCTTGGTCTTTGCTTAGAAGGCTCCGTTTCTAAATTAAACGGGATACAAGGCCCAAGGGGATTGCATCATCGGGTTAAAAACAAGCAGAGAAAATGCTGGTGCTTCTCGCCACCCCTCCCCCTCCCGTCACCACCATTTGTCCTGGAAACCAGGGCACACTCTTTCTTGGAGAGGGGTCACTCCTGGACCGAGGCTCTGGGTCGGGCCAGAAAGATTTATCTGCTCCCACCAAATTCAGGGGGCTCGTGGACCCCCTTCTGCCTTCGTTATAGAGCTCGTTAATGCTTCTATCCCAGAAGCACGACCAATGGGCGGCCTGACCACACATCCTGATCCTCGTGGTTGAGGAGACCAGAGATTCGAATGCAAGGTGGCAGCTCTAGGGGAAGGCATGCGTTCTCTGTGGCTATGGGAGTGGGCCCTTGTCTCTTTCAGCTCCTTGGTGGTCTTCATGGGGGATGTACCTTCCCTTTGATGCTCTCTTCCCCATGGCCCTTCTGCTACTTTTATATCTCAGAAGTGATTAGCTCAAAACTCACTTCATGTTGACATGACCTCAGGAGCATAGCACAGAGAGCCTGATCCTTAAATGAGATCACATTCACAGGTATAAGGCTTTAGGATTTACAAATCTATGTCTTTGGGCCAGGGGCTGGGGGCTGGGGCATAATTCAGTCCATAACCTCATCTCACTTGGGCTGGGAGTGAGCTAGGAGAAGCAGCGTCCTGGGGCCCTGATCAAGGGAAAGTTCCATTCCTGATTTCAGTGTTTTCATTCAATGTCAAGAGATGGGGGTTAAGAAATTGAGAGTGCAGGAGTAAAACCAGATTCTGCCATTAAAGGGTCCCTTCTGTAGTTAGTGGTCAGTGGCTGTAAATCATACGCCATTTAGTGTTGCTGGGGCCCTCGGGACAAAGCTAGGGGAGGGACACATCCCTGTTCCAAGACAGAAGCCAAAGATGGTGTCCTCCAACTCCACCCCGTGCGAAAACGACTATAGGCCAAATCTTCAACTTTTCTGCCTTCAGGTCCCCGCAATGCTTTGTAATCCCACATGCAGCTCCCTCTTTGTGCCTCTAGATCTCTGGGGACCCAAAAGTCCAAGGGAAAGAACCGTACAATGGTTACAGGTGCACGAGTCAGATGCTATCCAACACAGGCTTTCCTTGGACAGGTAGAAAGCCGGAGGTCCCCTGTGGCAAAGGAGTCCACTCAACCCCCTCAGAAGCTGGCCTGAGATGTCATAAGCAGCCACAGCTTTTAGTCTTTTCCCTGCCCAAGGCGGCTTTCCTTCAGCGACTGCTTTCACCTGCATCATGCACATTTAGAGTCAAGTTCCCTTCTCAGTCTCTAAAGTATTTAAATTGGGCATCAGGGACCTTTGGATACCCTCTTGCCTGGCCTCCTTCAGTGGCAGCTGCAGCAGCTGGAGCCTGCAGCTCAGAATAAACACCCTTCTCATCTGCAGCCTGAGCATGGCTGAGACAGGGAACTACAAATATAGGGCTGTACTCTTAACTATTCTAAGGATCATAAATGTTATTATTGTGCCTTTTAGGATATGTTAAGCTGTATTCGACCTCACCAACTGAACTGACAGCTCCCAAAGACAGAACTGCTTGTGCCTTCTCTCTCCGTTCTCAGGCCGATGAGGCAATGCTGACTCAGAGCGACTTGATCAGACAGATTAGAACTAAAGTATTGCAATGAAGCACAGTTACTAAAGGCTTAGATCTGAGTCTCGGATAAGCTTTTTAGAGATTGTGTGAACCTCACTCTCCAAATCTGGACAACAGGGGAGATCGTTCCTGCCCAGGCTGACCCTGGGTCTCAAGCAGTGCTAGTGCTTGCCAAATGGTCAAAGATCACACACCGGGGGTCAGGGCAGCGGGCTGTGCATTTCCCTGTGCCACGTTCCTCCTTGACTCCCCAGTGCAGCGCACAGATGGGAAGAGTGTGTGCAGGAAGAGTGCAGGGAACCAGGACCACAGTGCTCTTTGCTTCCTGGAGACTTCTGGAAGCCCAGCTGAGGGTGATCTGGGGTTGGGCTTCACACTCCCTTGCTTCACTTCACCAAGTGTCACCACCCAGCGCTGCCTCTGAAGCCCAGCTTAGAGCCCCAGTACTCCCTCTTGGGGCTTCCCTCCTTCCCAGCCCTGGCTCTTGGCACCCTGTTTGGCTGCCATGGTAACAAGTTCCAGGGTGACAAAGGAGGGAGCTGGGTCCTGTTTCCTCCTGGCCCTGTTGATGAGGATTTCCAGACCGGGAGTCTGGCTGAGCCTGGCACCTCCCAGCCTCTTCCGTGGTCTCACTTGGTACATAGCCAGCTCCGGCTCCTGCTGGCCAGGACCATGTCTACCAGCCTGACCACCTGTGAGTGGAAGAAAGTCTTCTATGAGAAGATGGAGGTGGCCAAGCCGGCGGACAGCTGGGAGCTCATCATAGACCCCAACCTCAAGCCCCATGAACTGGCCCCTGGCTGGAAGCAGTACGTGGAGCAGCATGCCTCAGGCAGGTGAGAGCCACCGTGAGGAGGGGACTTACAGGGAGTTTCTGAGTGACAGTCCTGGGGGCACTTTCCAAGGGGTGGCAGAACTGGTACTGGTGTCTTTGGGTCATCTTAGGTGGGGTAGGGCAGGGAAAGAATTGCCAGGGGGTTCACAGAAACCTTGGTTAAATTCCAGATGCATCACAGACTTCCTGGGAGACCCTATACGTGCTCTGTGCCATCTTTGCATCTTGCTTTCCCAGGAGAATCAAGAGCTGTCATATGTATATATATGATAGCTCTGAAATACATAGGATATTAACTGCTCCCAGATGCTTAAAACCATTTAAAGAGGATTTAGAACCTCTGAACCCCCTGGGGAATCCCTTCAAAGGCCTTTGCTTTTGAACTGGCTGGTGGCTGGGAGGGGTGAAAGAGCTGGTCTGGTCAGTTCAATTCAATTCCATTTTATTTGAATGCAGAGATGTTGCCTGCTATGGGCGAGAACCGGGTTTGACCTCTAACTAGCTAGCTATGGGACAAGGCTTCTCCCCTCTCTGCATCTAATTTTCGCATTTTCATAGGAGCAGGGTGGCCCAAGTCCTTCCCACTTCTATCTTCCTGCTCTATTCTCTGTGTCTACGATGCAAAGACAGTTTGGGGCAGGATGGCCCTTTGACACCTACACAATTTGCCCAGGCCTCATATTCTAGAGCAGCGGTTCTCAACCTGTGGGTCGCAACCCCTTTCGGGGTCAAATGACCCTTTCCAGGGGTCACCTGATTCATAACAGTAGCAAAATTACAGTTATGAAGGAGCAACAAAAATGATTTTATAGTTGGGGAGTCACCACAACATAAGGAACTGTATGAAAGGGTCCCGGCATTAGGAAGATTGAGAAGCACTGCTCTGGAGCCTGCAATAGGGTCCCTGGGGCCGAGGGAGCAGGTCCATTGGAAGCCTGCAGGCTCTTCATTCTTCTAGGTCATGGTTTGGGACCAGGGCCCCAGAATTCCCATTCAAACAGTCTCAGGCCCATTTTGGGAGACTGAACAGGCTTCTCCTAGGAGCTATCAGTTCTAGGACAGAGCAATTGCAAGGTGTGGACAGAACTTGCCCCTCCACATTGTGTGGTCCACACACATATATGTGTGATGTGGCTCATGGGCTAGGATGATGGTCCAACTGGGAAAAGGAGCCAGGCTGTGGTTGGAAAGCTTACATTTGTCCGCTTGCTCCAAGATCAGCAAATACGTATTAGGGTGAATCTGTTTGGAAGCCAGAGGTGAAGTTGGTTCCGTTTAACTCTGATAAATAGAAACATTTGTTGGGCTCCCATTACATGATGGGCCTTGCTTTGCTTCTCATGAGTTCTATGCATATGGCAGCCCTCTCAATTGCTTTGTGCCTCGGGGGCTTTTTTCCCAATAAAATGAAGAACTGACCAGATGATTCCTAAGGCTCCCTCCTCGAACCCCCAGGGAAGAAAAATACATAGAAGATATGGAAAGCATGCAAGCCTGGAGCTGGCTGATGGGAAAGCGTCAAAGGCAGAAAACTCAGGTCGAGGGGTCCTGGAGTCCAGAAGCTGAGCTCAGAAGATGACTCGCTCTTGCACCTCAGGGCTCAGCTGGTCCTATTCCTGTGGCTTAAGGCACCTGTGCTCATTAGGGCACTACCTCATTCTTTCTCTAGGTCTTGAGATGCATTAACCAGCAGGAGTGTACGGGGGAAATAGTCCCTCTTGGCCTCAGAAACGATCAACTAGGCCTTGAGTTGCCCTTGGTTTTGTTCTGGGCTCATGTTGTCCGTAGACTGGGTTAGCTTCCATTCTGTCCCACAACTTGGGCTATGTGGCTCTTGGCAAGCAGTAGATACTGAATGGTGTCTATTGGATCGAATCAAGTTCCTCAATAGAGGTCCATCATGGTGATCATAACACAGGCCCAGAAAGGGCCAGTGATAAGGACAGGCAGCCCACTGAGCAAACCCCTGTCTGTGATGTCTGCACAATGTGGCCCTGGGAGATGTTAGCTCACGGGGAGGAGGAAACGCTGGGGCCGATTTAATGGTGATCTGTTACTGGGTGTGCACGCACTGTGTGCCGAGCTGGAGGGAAATCCTCGTCTCTCTGTGTTTCCTCAGGCAAGGGCACTGGGGGCCCAGGTTAGGCAAAACTTCCCTCTGTAGTCCTGTGAGGGGGCAGGGAGCCGGAAGCAGGTCCACCTTCATAGGGCCCCTGCAGGGCTGGCAAAGGGTCTAGGGATCTAGGGTTGCCTTGTGAGGCACAAGTGAACAATCTCGGAGAAGATGGCTAGGAGGCAAGCGCAGGAGACTTCTCAGGCAGGACCATCAGCTTTGGAGATGGACTGCGGGCCTGTGGTGTGCCAGGTCTGTGCTTGGCACAGTAGAGATGTCTCTGTCCCAGAGCAGGTTTCCCCAAGTGAAAGTGCGAAGGCCACCCTCATCATCAGACGCACAGGGAGTCTTGGCGGGAAAGTATCTTGTTGGAGACCATCATCCTGCATTTCCCAGAGAGAAAACACAGTGTTTGGGCAAAAGCTTGAGCACAGTAGATGTGGAGGCTCCTGCATTGGGCTGATAACTGTAAGGTTCCCAGTTCAAAACCACCAGCGCTCCATGGGAGAAAGATATGGCTTTCTACTCCCAGAATGACTTACAGTCTTGGAAACTCACAGGGGAAGCTCTACCCTGTTGGATAGGGTGGCTATGCGTCGGCATTGACTCGATGGCAGTGAGCTTGGTTTTTGGTTTTGAGGCCCCTGGAAATGGAGCCCTGGCGATGTAGTGGGTTACACACTGAGCTGCTAGCTGCAAGGTCAGTGGTTCGAACCTACCGGCTGCTCTGAGGGGAAACGTGCAGGCTGTTTGCACCTGTAAAGACTTAACGTCTCAGAAACCCAAAAGGCAGTTCTATTCCGCAGGGTTGCTCTGAATCAGAATCCACTCAATGGCAGTGAGTTTGGCTTGAGGTTTGGGGGACAAGGAGGAGACAAGGTGGGCAGGGCACTGCTGGGTACCAGCTGGCTCTGGTATTAGATTCCTGAGGAGCCCACTGTGGTGCCAGGGGCACTCACCGGGAGGAGGAGGGTGGGCAGTGGCCCAGGTGAGCTAAGAACCAGGGGCCATAAACACTCTGCCAGCCCCTCTAGGTCCAAGGTTCGGTCCCCTCCCCACCCTCAACACCCCCACCACCCCCACTGCCCGCTGCTTTCCCCAGGGCAGGGTGCCCGTGTGGGCGGCCACCCTCTCCTCCTTCCTCTCTCCTTCCCCGCAGGTTCCACTGCTCCTGGTGCTGGCACACGTGGCAGTCGCCCCACATGGTCATCCTCTTCCACATGCACCTGGACCGGGAGCGGCGGATGGGCTCGGTGCGCATGCGCGTCTTCAAGCAGCTGTGCTACGAGTGCGGCACGGCGCGGCTGGACGAGGCGAGCATGCTGGAGGAGAACATCGAGAGTCTGGTGGACAACCTCATCACCAGCCTGCGCGAGCAGTGCTACGACGAGGACGGCGGCCAGTACCGCATCCACGTGGCCGCCCGCCCGAACAGCGGGCCGCACCGTGGAGAGTTCTGCGAGGCCTGCCAGGAGGGCATCGCGCACTGGAAGCCCAGCGAGAAGCTGCCCGAGGAGGAGGCCCCGGCCGGCACCTCCGGGCTGGGCGCCCAGGCGGGCTCGGGCCACAACTTCTTCTCGCTGCGCTGGTGTCTCTTCTGGGCCTTGCTCTGCGTGCTCCTCGTCTACCTGCAGCTCTCCTTCCGCAGCCACGCTGCCTTCTTGTAAGGGGAGCTGGTTGGAGCGGTAAGGGCCGGCACACGCAGTTGGGGTGGGGTGGCGAAGACGCTCTGGCCCTAACTCTGACCCTGATTCCGTACGTGGTCCTCAGCAACACGGTCACCTCTCTGGAGGACCGGGGTGTGGTGTGGTGGGGGTATTTAATGTCCCTTCGATGACATCTTACGGTAATTGGGGAATGGGGTCGGAAAAGAGTCGGGTGGTGTTTTTAGAATTCTCTAGTTTAGTGTGAGCACTAAACCCGTGGGTTTCCCATCTCCCCTTTCATCCCTGCCCGCCCCCCCACTTCTTCATGTTCATGTCCCACGTCCCTTAACAAACCCCAAGCCAATAGTAGAACTGCTCTCTCTTTGAGTTTGCGTCTTTTAGATCTTTATGAGAGCAGAAAGCCTCATCTTTCTCCCAGAACAGCTGGTGGGTTCGGATCACTAACCAGGTGATTAGTAGCTCCAGGCATAGTCCACCACACCCCCAGCATACCGCATCCCACAACTCTTAGGGCCCCAGGAAGCCCTGTTTGATCCTAGCCTCATTCTCAAGGTCAGCTTCAGCTCCTCTGACCACCGTGCCGGTTCTCTTTGGAGAGGGCAGATGCCCTCCGCAGTGCATTACCCCAAAACCAAACTCACTGCCGTCAAGTCAATTCCGATTCCTGGTGACCCTATAGCACAGGGTGGAATTGCCATTGTGGGCTTTTGATACTTTATAGGAGAAGAAAGCCTCCTCTTTCTCCAGGGAAGCAGCTGGTGATTTTGAACTGCTACCTTTGTGGTTAGGAGCCCAATGCGTTACCACTCTGCCTCCAGGGCTCCTATACAGTGCATAGCCATGGCTTCATCTGGTGGCTAGCCCCTGGAGAGAGACAGCCCTCCCCTCTCCTCTAGATTCTGCTCTCAGCATTCTTAGGGAGTCAGCTTTGGCTTTGGTATTAGGGGCCACTTGGCCAGATGGCACAGATTGTTTAGAGCTGTGTTGTCCAATGTGGTAGGCACAAATGCTATGTGGCTATCTAAATTTAAATGAGCTTAAGCGTTAGCAGCTCAGTTCTTCTAGAGCATGCTTCAGGTACTCCTTAGCCACATGTGAGTAGTGACTACCTGCCCTGTTCACACAGGCTACTTCAAAGGCAGTTCCTAGGTAGCCACAAACCTAATAAGATAAGGACCCCATCCAATAGTAGCAATCCCACCATGGGTGCTATGATCCTCTAGGTCAATCGAATTGTACACATGAGAGACTCACTGAGTGGTGACCAAGTAAAAACCCTTTATTACTGACTGGAAGCAAATAGCAAACATCAGGAATAGATTCACTGTGAGAATGTCCCTCTAGGCTCAGAAGGCTGTCTAGCCAGGTGGAGACTTCTCTATGCACACCACACATTGCACAATACCAGACAGACCACAATATCTCCTGCTCACCTGGCTTTGTGCTCCAGGAGCCACGTGACCAAATGAGTCTGGCACAGTGCAGACTTTCCAGTCTGATAACTCAGAGGGATTAAAGCCTTTGCAGTCAGATGCATAAGTACCAACTGGAGCAATGCTGTGCTTTGTGTTGAAGCCCAAGGACACTCGCAGGGGGAGGAGTAGGGAGAAACATGGCTCTTGGGCTGACTGGGGACTTCTTTCATTACCTTAGTGCACAGTGCAGATTTAGACACTTCCCATGATTTCAAACCAGTCTAGAGCTTGAAATTCCTATTTGAGAGTAGGTGGACTGAAAAATAATAAGTGGGCAGGAGTGCAAAGCTATGAAACCTCTAGACACAAGGGCAGAGACAGGTGGGGTGGTGGTAGAGAAGCACAAATAAAGATGTCACTTCTGTGCTCCTAGCTGTGAGTTGACTAGAATCTCTGGGGCCCAGTGTTGCCCAAACATCTTCCCTGAGGGAAGAAGGCAAATAGGTCTGGTTACAGGATCACAGGAAAGAGATGACAACGTTGTGGGGCCAGTGCCTACAGCTCCTTCCACATGCCCCGCGGCCACAGCTGCCATGGTTGTGTCCTGAACAAAGTGCCAGGAAGAAACAGAAAAGTGTGTCCCAAATGGTTTGTCCTGGGAGGGGAAGTTTAAGACACATTTGGGAGCCAAGGTGAGCTGCTGAGTAGGATTTCTGGAGGCAGGAAAAGGGAGCCCAAGGTAGACATGATGGCTGCAGGCCCTCCACACGTCTGCTTTTCTGCTAGAGAATCGGGCTGGACTTGAGTGTCTTCAGCTGGACAGGGCCATGAGAGAACTTCCTCTGTGCATTTCCTTAGAATCTGATGGTGTGTAGGAACTGCTCCAGGCCCACAGGCAGGAAGCTTTGGAGGAAAATCCCTGCAGTAAGAAACCATCTTCTTGATCTGGAGCAGGCAATGCAGGCCTGGGAGGCATAGGGCCATGGTACCCTGACACAGGTACCGAGTCACAGACAGCCAAGAAGGTCACGCTGCCAAGAGACTGCAAGGATCTCCACAAGGCAGAACTTCAGGTTTTTCGTTTTTTTCATAAAAAGTACCAAAGCCCCCACATAGCAACGGGAGAACTTGTTGAAATTGTGTGTGTTGGCATCAGCAGTTATGCATGATGCAGTGAGAGACTCCTTTACTCATGGAACCATGTCAGGGCAGATTCAATAGGGGTCCCAGTTCCTGGAGACAGGGAGGGAATGGACAAAGTAGGCACATCAGTAGGTGTGGACGCCTCACGTGCCAGCAGGGCTGTGTGTCCCCGTTCAGGGAAGGTGTTGAGCAAGACAAGCAAGGGGACGCCTGAGCAGTCAGGAAGGCACCACTTGTCTCCCGGCACCTCTCCCTTTGCACAGTGAGGCTGCCTTAATGGGGGGCTGCGTTTGCAAGGGCCGCTTCCTCAGGAGTAGCTGTGACATAAGTGGGGAGTTTGTCTCATGGGCCTAATGACCTGGCAGCGATTCCTGTCTGGAGTAGACAACAGAACTTTCCCACTTGTACTCCCAGTAGATGCCTGACCCCTGACCCCAGTAGAATGTTCACAGCCTCTGCTCCAAACGGGGTCTTAGAATGGAAGGTTCTAAGATGGGGGGGGCTGTTGGGGGGTGTTAGGGGGTTGGGTTGGGTGGAATTCCAGGAAGGGGCTGCTTCAGACACCATTTCCCTTCTCTCTGCGCATGCCGGCCAGGCTTCTCCAACTCTGGCAATGGTTTTGGGTTTGGGGTGGCTTCCTTGGCACTCTCTGTGGGTCTGCAGGAGCAAGGAGCAGGGCAGGATGGAGGACTCTTTCCTCTGCGATCTTCAGGTGGGCAGGGCAGGAGCGGCACAGGAAGAGCATCACGCTGGAGTGGTGGTGACCGAGTGTGCCTGCGAGTCTCTGTGTTCACTTCTGTCGTGTGCAGATGGTGCTCAGCTGGGCCAGTGTCGAGCGTGTGCCCCGTGAGGGTTATTGCTCAATTGCAGGCTCAGAGTCACTTCTGGGAAGCTGGAAGTCAGGAGATCGGGGAATCAAGGAGCCCCCAAGGGAGTGTCTTGCCCCTGCCTTGGTCCATCCTGGGAGACAGGACAGGGATGAAGCGGTGCCCACAGCAGCTCTCATTGAAGCTGTAGTTAGGGGGGCTGAGGCTGGCCTGCCCACTGTGTGTCGAAGGGGAGGAACATGCCTCAGATGGCTCAGTACATTGGGGCATCTGAGGGGAGGGCTGAGGGCTGAGGGCTGGAAATGAGGATGAGGAGGCTCGAATAGGCGAGAGGAGGAAAGTCTGGGAAACATTCCAGAAGATGAATCTGTGCCAATCGTCCTTCTCCATCAGCCTCTTTACATAACTATACCTTTTCATATGTAACTAGAATGACCCTCCTCCACCCCCACACTCCCCTTTAACTGCTGTCACGTATGCTCTGCGAGCCACTTTTCTCAAAGGGCAGGTTCAGTTACTGCCCCCTCTTGGTTACTCCTTAGATCACAGGGGCCTTCTTTCTGTGCCCCTAAAACTCCAGCCCTCCCTTGTTTCCCAACCAGTGCCAGCTTTTCCGTTGGCGTCTCCCTTGATCTCTCTGGGGCACATGCTGCGTCCTCCAGGGAGCTCTCCCCTGGCTCCCACAGAAGCCCTCGCTTCTGTGCCCCTGCCACGGTGACACGCTCTGTGGAACAGCTTGTCCCCCATGTGTCACATGCCGGCGTTTCCCAGAAGGCCTTGCTCACCCTCTTTGCCATCAGTCACATGTCCACCCTTGATTTACCTGTGTGTCTGTATGCGAATTCCCAGGTCTCGCTAGCCCCTTTAAGCATTTCTACTGAGCCCCAGACCCAAAGGCCAACGGGCTGGCCCCCTGGACCTCCTCTTCCACCTCTGCTCAACACATGCGTTTTCCTTTGAGAGGATCGGAATTAAGTATTTTGGAGTAATTCAATGAAATCGTTTTCATTTCAAGTTGTTTAGTAACATTGTACCTTCTGTAATGGATTGAATTGTGCCCTGCTCCCTCCCCCCTAACACCCATCTCTTTCTTTGGATGTGATCCCCTACTGGCACAGGGGGTTCTTCGTTACGGGGACGAGGCCATATTCCTATAGAAAGTGTGCTATCACCTCGTCGTGTCTGGGCTCGTTGGAAAAAGAGCTGATAAACACACAGCACAACCAGGACAGGGGAGAGACAGCAGATGACCACGGGAAGGACGCTAAGGAGCCGAGGAAGGCCAGGGACAGGATCTTCCCCCAGAACCAAGAGAAAGTTTCTTTTGGAACTAGTGCTCTGGATTTGGCTATCTGGCTTCCTGACCTGTGACAAAGTAAACTTCTGATGTTTAAAACTGCCCACGTGTGATATTTCTGTTACAGCAGCAAAAAGAAACACATACCTTCTAGACTTGCTTGTCTTAAATCTCAGAAAACTTGAGGTGACCTGCTGGTCCTTCATTGTTGTCCTTCATTAGTGCCACCCCCACTAATTGTTCAACACATCCTGTTCATGGTTTTTCCCAAGTACCCCATTTTTCCCCAGCTGCTGCCACCAATACACAGCCATTTGG